CCACCGTTCAACTGCTTCCATCCCCCACAACCCACTCCCCACCCCAGGTCCTTCCCTCAGGGTAACATCCCCATCCTTCTGCTCCCCAGGCTCTGTTCCAAACACCCCTTCTGGCCCCTCTAGGTGGCTTATGGAACCACGGAGAACAGCCCCGTGACCTTCATGAACTTCGCCGAGGACAGTGTGGAGCAGAAGGCAGAAAGTGTGGGCAGAGTCATGCCTCACACAGAGGTGGGCCCCGGACACCCCCCTCCCACCACTCACCTGGGGGCACCCCCTGCGATGTTTATTGCTTTCAATTAGAGATCCAAACAGCTCACTCCAGACACTGAGAGCCCCCAGCCACGAGGTCTTCCTGAGCCTGGCCTGGGGCTTTCTCTGTGGGCTGAGGCCTGAACTGGGAAGAGCTGGAACAGTGGCCAGCTGCCAGCTGAACTTCTCTGCAGCCTCCCTTCCTGTCTGAGGTGTGTTTTTGCCAAGCCCACTGTCTGTTTTGGGGCAGCCAGAACAGCCTCATAGAGGAGCCAGAGCACAGAGATTTTTCCTACATAGCTTTCTCTCCCATAGCCCTCCCCTCCCCCCCCCCCCACCTCATTTCAGCAGAGTTCCTCTTTGTGCTTGGCATAAACAGTTTCCCAAACAGCTTCTCCCTCTCGGAGTCCCTTGCATCTTGAAGACTGACCCAGAGTACCTTTCACTCTCAAATTCCCAGCCTCCAATGCTGGTGTTTTATGCCAGCCGGTACCTGGTTTCCCCTCCCGCCTTGTACCTTGCCCCTCTGGGATTACTGCCAATGTGCTTCCCCGGGGGCCTACCTCTCTCCTCCCTGGAGTGAGTGTGCAGTGACATCAGTCCCTCCCATGAGTCTGACGTGTTTCTCCCATGTGTTTCCGTGTGTCACTCACTGAGAGGCCCCACCTGTAAGGCAGACAGGGCAGGTGCAGTTCTCTCCATTTCACAGGTGCAGACACGAGGCGCAAGGGCTAAGCTTTCTTGCCCATTGGCAGTGGCTCATTTCTCGACCAGGCTTTCAGATTCTGCCTGTCTGCCGCCTCTCCTGTTCACGTGGCCCTGCTCTGCCACCCTCTTTGGCTTCTTTATTTACTGCTTAGTGGGAAGGAAGAGGAGACTCCCTTCCTTCTGCACAGTTTATAATTCTTTAGCTGGCCTGGCCCCCCTTCTGGCCGCCTTCTCTGAGCAGCTCCCACCCACTCTGTTTCCTCAGCACCTCCTGACTTGGGCCTCAACTGTTCTTTCATGCCCAGCTCAGGTATCCAACTGGTGACAGATCTACTCAGCCTGCGTCTCCATTCCTTGGGGATGGGCAGAGCCAAGGGGCTTCATTATAGGGGGAAGGAAGGGAAAGCTCTCCCCATTCCTGAGGCCCCCTCATCCTGAAATGAGAGGGTGGGAGGCCCCAGCCTGAAGCTGCCTGGTCCCAGGCCCAGATTGTGAACACGGAGACGGGGACACTGGCAGAGCTGAACACACCTGGAGAGCTGTGCATCCGAGGGTACTGCGTCATGCTGGGCTACTGGGGTGAGCCCCGGAAGACCGAGGAAGCAATTGGACAGGACAAGTGGTACCGGACGGGGTGAGAAGGCAGGGCAGGGTGGAGCGGTTGGTCTCCAAGGGGACGCTGGGGGTCCTGAGGCTGAGTTGGGAACACTGAACTAGAACTGGGAGAACCAGTTGTCAAGATGGCCCCTTCACATCTCGGAGACTCAGTTTCCAAAATGTACATAAAATGAGGATGATCATATTCTCCAAATAGGGCTCCTGGAAGGACCAAATGCAGTACAGATGAGAACTCCTGGGGTAGTGCCTGCAAAATCTGAGCCTAGATTCAGTCTCATCTAATTCAACAAACTCTAATTATGCACCCGCCATGTGCAAGCACTGTTGTAAACACTGGTGGTCCAGGGGAAAGCACAATGGGCAGGATCCTGCCGTCACTTCCCACATGTCTGGTGGAGGGATTCAGATACAGTCAAGATTGTTTCTGACATTCATAAACACAGCTAATAAGATAGGGTCACAGGAGAGAGAGTGGCTGTGGTGGAGAAGGGAGATTCTTTTCTCTTTGGTGATCAGAGGAGGCTTCTCTCAGGTGGAAATGTTTGAGCTGAAACCTGAATGATAAGAAGCCAGCCCCAAAAGGTGTATATATAGATACGTTTAGAGAGAGAGACAGAGAAAATATGCTATAGGTATGGGTTTACTTGGTTTGGTCTGCCTCCTACATGAGATAGTTCCTCCTGTATGATCCAGGTAAAGTCTTGTTCATGCCATATGCCCCAGAGTCTAGAGTAGTGTAAGACATAGAGTAGGTGTTTCCTAAGTGTGTGGGAGTGAGTGAGTGAAGCCAGCCAGATGAGGCAGAGGTCAGGGGTAGCTCCTGGGCTTTCCTTACAGAGACATTGCCACGATGGATGAGCAGGGCTTCTGCAAGATTGTGGGCCGCTCAAAAGATATGATCATCCGTGGCGGCGAGAATATCTACCCCGCTGAGCTTGAGGACTTCTTTCAAACACACCCACAGGTTCAGGAAGTGCAGGTGAGGCACCCAGCCCAGGTAGAGCCCAAGAGCAGGGGACACAGATGGGGATGTCTGATATCTGTCTCTGACCCTGGAAGGTGGTGGGAGTGAAGGATGACCGAATGGGGGAGGAAATCTGTGCCTGCATTCGGCTCAAGGAAGGGGAGAAGACCACGGCAGAGGAGATCAAGGCTTTCTGCAAGGGGAAGGTGGGAGCCTCAATTCACCCCAAGCATCGCCACGTTGCTCAGTTCTCTAATACCCTCTGCCTGCCAGCCTGTCAGCCCACTGCCCACTGTGACCCTGCCCGGCCTCATGCTTTAATCCCCCTCTGGCCTGCAGATCTCCCACTTCAAGATTCCCCGGTACATCGTTTTTGTCACAAACTACCCCCTCACCGTCTCAGGAAAGGTATGTAAAGAGACCAGGGAGGGGCAGGGAAGTTGGAGCCCAGGTGCAGAAGGTCGGGTGGCCCTGCCTGAGCCTCCCTGAGCGATGAGCCAGAGTCTGCCGAGAGGCTGGCCGTTGGGTCACACGTTTGTCAGCTCCTGCTGGTTTGCCCAACTTTCCTGGCTTTAGCCTGAGAAACTCCTCAGTCCCAGGCAAACCAGCAGGGCTTGGACACCCTAGCTAGCCTGCCTAATTCCCACTTCTTTCACTTTCCTCTAGATCCAGAAATTCAAACTTCGGGAGCAGATGGAGCAACATCTAAACCTGTGAATAGACGAAGGGAGAAGATCCTTCCTCCCCGCCCTTCTCCCCCATGCCCCATGTCTGCTTTGTGATCTGGCATAAAGAGCTTCTCTGTTTACTCTGGCTGGTCTCTTGCTGCTGTGCTGTCTTTGCAGCTGCTACAGGATGGAGAAGGGAAGAGGCCAAAGCACTTTAAACCTCCTATTCCTTGTCAATGACGGTGCTAAGCACTTTGGCGTGCATTATCTACTTCATTTAATCCTCACTCGATCCCTTTGAGATATCAACACAATTAGGGTGTTATCTAACATAATTAGATATCAACACACATTTCTTTTTCACATTGTTTCCAGATTAGTGCAGCAAGAAGTATTTTTTTAAAATAGCTTTATTGAGTTATAATTCACATACTACCCAATTCACCCATTTAAAGTGTTGCTTTCAATGGTTTTTAGTATATTCACAGATGTGTGCACTGATCAACAAAGTCAACAGAAAAAATGTTCATCACCTCTTAAAAATAAACTCTGTACCCTTTAACTATCATACAACATCCCTCTACTCCCCCATCCCTCCCAACCAAACCAATTTTGATCTTTTTTCTTAATCAGTGAAACCAGAGCTTCCTTGATGGGCAGTTAAAGCAGGATAAGGCAAGCTGTAGCTTGATCTAAGAAATAAAAAACAGCTAAGCATATCGATTTCTAGTTCAGAGACAGAAGGAAAAGTTCCTTCTGCTTGCAAGCCTTATCTCCCAGTGTTTGCCCCCAGCAGCAGCAGCCTCATCTTCACTTTTTAGAAAACGAACATAAATTTAGGATGTTCTGAGTGCCAGTCACTATATACATACAGACACATCCATATCCTGTTGTATCCATATCCAGATACATCCAACATTTCCTGTTGAAATCTTCCCAAGAACACAGTCAAGCAGGCATTAGCCCCATTTCACAAAGGATGAAACTGAAAACTCAGGAAGTTCAGTGTCTTGCCCAAATTTACACGGCTGGAATTAGAACCCAGCTGCCTGATTCCAAAGCCCATGATCTTTCCACTTCCTGGGACAGTTCTTCGGGATTGTCCAGCCCTTCTTCTGAACCCTATCTGTCCCACATACACCGTCTCTGACTCTTCTCACAGCAGATGCCTGGGGGTTGGCCCGACCCCGGTGACAGCCTGCGCTCCTGACCAAGCAGGGATTTTCTGCTCCTGCAGCATTCAGTCCAAGCGCCCTCTCCTCCCCCCTGATTCCAGAGCCCTGGAGCACACTGGCCTGGTATCCAGGAGGTGCTGAATTAAATCGGTTGCCTGTTGTCGCTTGTTGGTTTACCTCTCCCGTCTCTTGTACCTGTACTTCGCCCTCATCTTATGCATCTGGATGTCCTCAGCGCCCAAACTCAGCCAGGCACATAAAACGTGAAGAAACCTATTGAGCGAACTAACAGGTCTTGGATCGATCCAGGAACTCGCTCGTGATGGGGTGCCAAAAAGTGGGGCGCTCCCCTACTACACCTCCAGCCACCAGAGAAAGGACGGCCGGGCGGCTGCAGTGAAGGCATCGGTGCCCAGCAGGTGGCGCCACGCCCCCGAGCCCTTAGCGCGGTGCTCCGTCAAAGGGCGCGGCCACGCAGCCCCGGTCCTTCCGCCCGGGCGGCCGCTCCCCCGCCCCACCCCCACCCCGCCCGGCTCTGCGCGCGCCGTAAGACCTACCCTGGGCTTGTCTCGGGCTCGTGTCCTGGCAACGGGCCGCTCAGCCATAGCGGGGGCCATGGCCCTCCCGCGGGGCCAGGCCCGCGGCTGGGTGAAGGCCGCCAAGCTGGCCCAGAGGCGCCGCCCCGCGGAGGACACGGGAGGACCCCAGAGTCCTGCGCCCGGGAGCCAGCGCGCCGCGCTTTACGTCCACGTGAGTGGGGAGGGGAGGCGGAGTCGCGGGAGCGGAAGACCGCGAGCCTCCGTGGCGCTTGTCACGCCGCGGGCCCACCTGCCGTCCTTCACCGGCCCTTGGCGAGGTCTGGGACCTGTTCCCTGCCTGGGAAAGGTCTTGGTCCGGAGAACTGAAGTCTCTGGGGCTCACAATCTCGTTGACCTTGACAAGTGATTTCCCTTCTGAACCGCAGTTTTCTCCCATTGAAGTGGGCTTACTCATCCCCCTGGAGAGTTGTGTGGCTTAGATGCGGTAGCCACTGTTGATGGACCTCGGAATCAGGATGGGGGTGTGTGCGACTGAACCCTGGAAATGGCTGGGGCAGCCCAGGGTCACCTCTCATCCGGTTCCCATGCCCCCTGCTCCCAGTGGCCCTACTGCGAGAAGCGCTGTAGTTACTGCAACTTCAACAAGTACATCCCCCGTGGTGTGGACGAGGCTGCTCTGAGGCGCTGTCTGGTGACCGAGGCTCAGACGCTGCTGCGACTCAGTGGAGTGCGACGGTGGGTACTGCGGGCAGGGTCTTGGGAATTACATAGGGCAGCAGAACAGGTTGCAGGCATCCTGGAGGGCTCCCCCACATTTTCGTCTCCATTCTCTTTCCCTAGAGTGGAGTCTGTGTTCTTTGGTGGGGGTACCCCCAGTCTGGCCAGCCCCCAGACTGTGGCAGCTGTCCTGGAGGCAGTGGCCCAGGCAGCTCACCTGCCTGCAGACTCTGAAGTCACACTGGAGGCCAACCCCACTTCGGCCTCAGGCTCCAGGCTGGCAGCATTTGGGGCAGCAGGAGTCAACAGGTTGTCCATTGGCCTCCAGGTAACCCATCTCACCCACCTTATCCTGGGGCATCCAGGTTGTTTCTCATCCAGTCACATTCATTCATAGGGCAAATACTTATGGAGCTCCTTCTGTGTGCAAGGGCCCTGGAGACACTGAAAAATGTGTGGTGACACCTACTTGTCTGTTTCTATGCCAGACTACAAGCCCTAATAGGCAGGGATCATGCGTGCCTTTTTGTTCATCACAGTATTACAAGCAGCCACTACAGTTCTTGGCACATAGTAGATGCTTGAAAGATTTACTACCTGACTGGAGACACAGGAGGAGGCAGACAGGTGGTCAGATCATTGCAGCATGATAAAGTCTGCTTGTGAATGGGGTCTCTACAAAAGGCTTTCAAGAGTATAGCCTGAAGGGCATGTCAGTCTGACAAAATCATGGAAACCTTCCTGGAGAAGGTGATGTTTGAATAAGGAAGAGGAGTCCCATCAGAGGAGGGGGTGTTGGGGAGGGGGGAGAGACAGGATTTGGAAGAGCTTGCCTGTTTGGGGGGACCTTTGAGCCATTCCTTGTGACTGGAGAGGCTGGGGGCAAAGTTGCAAGCTGGGGCCCAGAAGTCTTCGGCACCATACTAGGAAACCTGCGGTTTTGCCTAGTGGTGACAAGGGAGTCACTGAAGGGTTTTAAGTCGGAGAGAAACGTGTTCCTGTCAGGTTGGCCCTTGGTATTTCTATAGCCAGTATCCCCACCCCCACTCCACACACATCCATTTCAAGTACATGTACCGCTTACCAAAGAGTTTGGGGTCGGGGCTTTGTCATCATGGGACATATTGAAAGGGACACACCATTTCTTGAGATATTCGGGCCTCCAAATACTTACATATGTTGAATCTAATTGTGAGGACACATCAGGACACCTAAGAGACTTTGTATATGTGTGGATAAGAACAGATAACATGACATCCATCTACCCTCTTAACTTTTTAATGTACAGTACAGTATTGCTGGCTATAAACACAGTGATGTGCAAGAGATCTCTAGGACTAATTAAGAGATTTGGGGGGTATTTTTTGGCCACAATGTGTGGTTTGTGGAGTCTTAGTTTTCTGACCAGGGATTTTGAACCTGGGCCCCTGTCAGTGAAAATGCTGAGTCCTAACCATTGGACTTGCCAGGGAATTCCCTAAGAGGCAGTTTTTAAAACAACTGACCTGTAAAAAAACGTCAGTATCATAAATGACAAAGGCAGGATGAGGATCTCAACTAAAGGAGACTAAAGAGACAGTGACAGCTGCCTGCAATGTGTGACCCCCTGATGGAATACTGAATTGGGGTGGGAAGAGGAAATTATTGCAACAGACATTTAGGGACAATCTGCCAACTTTGAATGAGACTGTGTATTAGATAATGGGATTGTGTCCATGTTACATTTCCTGAACTTTGTAATTAGATTGTAGTTGTGTAAGGGAATGTCCTTATTCTTAAGAAATGTTTTTTACATTTAGATAACCATATTGCAAGTGCCTAATAGCCTGTGGGCAATGGCTACCATATTCTACTAAAATGTTCTGTATCTTCACTGACCAATATAGTTGCCACTGACCTCATGCTAGGTAACACTTAGAATGTGAGTACTTAAATTTAATTAACTTCTAAAATTTAGACAACTACATGTGGTTAGTATCTACTATGTTGGACAGTGCAGTTACAGAACATTTTCATCATCTCAAATGGTTCTTTTGGACAGCATGGTCTATAACTTACTCTCAAAAAATTCAACATAATAATAATGTATGTGTATATTTAGAGAGGGGGCTTCTGAGGTGGTGCTAGTGGTAGAGAACTCGCCTGCCAATGCAGCAGATGTAAGAGACACGAGTTTGATCCTTGGGTCAGGAAGATCCCCTGGAGGAGGGTATGGCAGCCCACTCCAGTATTCTCGCTTGGGGAATCTGATGGACAGAGGAGCCTGACTGGCTACGGTCCACAGTGTTGGAAAGACTCGGACACAACCGAAGCAACTTAGCACATATTTAGAGAGAGACAAAGCAAAAGTGGCAAAAATGTTAATTGCAACTCTTCTATAGGTTTGAAAATTTCAAAATAAAAAGTAAAATCAAAAAAAGATTGTTGGCTTTGGAGTCAGTCGTAATTTCCAGGTCTGACTTCACCATTGTTTGACCTTGGGCAAGCTACTTAATGAACTCCAGTTTTGTCTTCTGTAAAATGGAGCTAGTGTTGGAGGGTTCTTGGGATAAATTAGATATTGCGTAAGAATGCTGTGCACATGGTAACCCTTTAGTGAATGGTACCCCTGCTGCTGGCTTGACCATCTGCCTTCCAGCTCCCTGCCATGTCCTGTGTTTCCCCCTGGATCTGTGTCTGCAGTTAGTCCAGTCAAGTGTTTCTGTCTCCCTCTGAGCCGGCCTGCGTGCTTATACTCCACCCTCTCTCTCCAGTCTCTAGATGACACGGAGCTCCAGCTGCTGGGGAGGACACACTCGGCCAGTGATGCTCTGCAGACCCTGGCGGAGGCCCAACGCCTCTTCCCAGGGCGTGTTTCTGTGGACCTGATGCTGGGGCTGCCGGCACAGCAGGTGGGGCCGTGGCTCAGGCAGCTGCAGGACCTGCTGCGCTGCTGTGATGACCATGTGTCCCTCTACCAGCTGTCCCTGGAGCGGGGCACCGCACTCTTCACCCAGGTGCAGAAGGGTGCCCTTCCTGCCCCAGACCCCGAACTAGCCGCTGAGATGTACCAGGAGGGACGGGCAGTCCTGCGGGAGGCTGGCTTTCGCCAGTACGAGGTCTCCAACTTTGCCCGGAATGTAAGTCCTAAAGCTGAAGGTGGGGCCTGGGCAGGCTAAGGCATGACAGGGCAGTTGTGGCCCTTTGGGGAGAAGGGTGCTTCCAAGGCCTGAGACAGTGGGGCATTGTAACCAGGTGCCTCTTACCTGAACAGGGATCGGTCCACCTACTTCTCTCTGCATTGACTGTTCCCTCCCTCCCGACAGGGGGCGCTTAGTACCCACAACTGGACTTACTGGCAGTGTGGTCAGTACCTTGGCGTTGGGCCTGGTGAGTCCTATGAACTACAGATGGGATGACTCAGGAGAGCAATGTCATGGCTGTGTGCTCTTGGGCCACTTAACCTCTCCGGCTCTCTGTTTCCTCATATGTAGAGTGTGGCAAAAAGTACTACCTACCTGGCAGAGCTCTTTAAGTATGTGTTTTGAGGTGCTTGGGATAGTATCTGGCACTGTGGTTCTTGATCTTTAGCATGCATCAGAATTACCTGGACTGCTTGTTAAAACCCAACTGAACCCCAACCAAATTCTAGAATTTCTGGAATTGGACAGGGCCTGAGGATTTACATTTCTAGCATATGAAATGCTGTTGGTCCAGAGGCCGTGCTTTGAGAACCACTGAGTTAGCATCTGGCAAGCACACAGTGTTAGCTGCTGTTAACCTGTTTATGTTGTCAGGGGCCCATGGGCGATTTATACCCCAGGGGGCCGGGGGCCACACCCGAGAGGCTCGGATCCAGACCCTAGAGCCTGACAACTGGATGAAGGAGGTGACGCTGTTTGGTCACGGCACCCGGAGGCGCATCCCCCTGAGTGAGCTGGAGCTGTGAGCGCTTGAGGGCTCTTCACCCAGGGTCCCCCTGTACCCCAAGAACCACCCACCTACACATCTTTGTTTCCTGCCTTGCCCTTCCCCCAGCCTGTCCCATGCTGTGTGATTCTCATAAATCCCGCATACACACATCCCAACTAGAGTTTGAACGATGGGAGAAGTATAAGTCTCCTCTCCAAGACCCCCTGTTGGTTTTTCTTTCAGGCTGGAGGAAGTTTTGGTCATGGGGCTACGCACAGATGTGGGCATCACTCACCAGGTAAGAGTCACTGTGTCTCACTCTCTCGTCTATACACACACACACACCCTCCCATTCCTCTGGCACTGGCAGCTAGCAGTAGGGCCTTGGTCTAGCTGAGACCTGATGGGCAAGAGCACTGGGCAGCAAGGCGATGGTGAGAGCCCTCAACCGGGGCTACAGAGACCTGGGCTCTAGTCCCCATCTACTGCAACCTTCTGAGCCATCTGACGGAATAGGCTAGATTAAGAATTTTCAAATGTTTTTAAAGCAGAGCTAAAAGCTCAGATAGTAAGTGCAATAAAGATCAGTGAAGCCCAGAACTGCTCTAGATGAAATCAGAGCCATAGAACCTGGACTTGTTGTTGAGTTGCTAAGTCATGTCTGACTCTTTACAACCCCCAAGGACTGTAGCATGCCAGGCTCCTCTGTCCTCTATCTCCTGGAGTTTGCTCAAATTCATGTCCACTGAGTTGGTGATGCTAGCTAACCATCTCATCCTCTGCCACCCCATTCATCTTTTGCCTTCAACCTTTTCCAGCATCAGGGTCTTTTCCAGTGAGAGCCCCAACTAGAGGTGGCCATACTCTGACCAGAACAGGGAGGGGAATGAGCAAAGGAAGACCTGGCTTGGCTGGGAGCCGGATTTGGCTTGGACATGGAGTAGGAGTGAAGGTGCCCACCTCCCTGCTGATCCATTGACCTGGTCTTGGTGTACATGATAGTCAGTTTCTAAGATCTCTGTGCTGGACTGGAGCCACCCCTCACTCCACCCCCAGGCAGGTGGCCTAGAATAGGCCCTGCCAACTCCCCACCTTGTGGTTCCCGCACCTCTGCCCCTTCTTGTTTTCCCAGCACTGGCAGCAGTTTGAGCCCCAGCTGACCCTGTGGGACCTGTTTGGAGCCAGCAAGGAGGTGAAGGGGCTACAGGAGCAGGGCCTGTTGCTGCTGGATCACAGGTGTGTTGTGGGCAGTGGTTAGGGGTCCCAGGGAATCCTGACTACACATCTACAGACCAGAGAGAGGTGAGAAAGATGGACAAGGAAGGGCCTCTGGTGCCAGGGCCTTGGCATTGGCAGAGGGCGAGGATTGAGACTAGTAAGAGGGGGCAGTCACAGCCAGGCCTCTTGTTGTTCCAGGGGTCTTCGGTGTTCCTGGGAGGGGCTGGCTGTGCTGGACTCTCTGTTGCTGTCCCTTCTATCTCGGCTCCAAGAGGCCTGGCAGCAGAAAACCCCCTCTTCCGTGCCCAGAGGATAGCCACCAGAGGAGAGCCACATGTTTTGTAGCCAGGACTCTGCAGGTAGGCTTTGGGGGCTGGGATGACTGCAGACATCGTCACTGGCAGGTGCTGTCCTGGTTCTGATCACTGCCCAGCCCTGGCATCCCCAGGGGAATGGTTACAGTGAGGTAGATGGGAGGACTTTTCTGGCCTGGGGACTGGCGTCAAGTGCACCTACCACTGCCAGAGAAGCATTACTCCAAAGAAGGAGTAATGGTTTCTGTGGGTGCCTCTCATCAGTAGACTGTAAACAAATCCTGGTTGACAGAGGATTCTGAGAGATAGAGCTCTCAGGCTTCCTACCCCAACAGAACAGGACAGGACATGTGTGTCCGGCACAGCAGCCTGCTGGCCTCTGAGAAGAGTGGGAAAGAACAGGGCAAGACTTGCCTCATCTCTGGGCAACCAGGATATGCGTGGGTGTCAGGAGCCTCAGATCTTCCAGAGTGCCCCCCAGTCTTCTCCCTCCCCTCTGCAGCCTTTCCCTTGAAAGAGTGGAGATGGAGGGAGCTAAGAGGGAAAGGGTAGGGGAGAATTCAGGGAAGATCAGAGCCTGGTAATTCTCCCCTGGCCTTTTACCTGCAGAAATGGTCACCTGGTTTTATTTAAATAACCTCATAAGCCTATCTGGAGCCTGTCTTAACTGTGGTCCTCTCCTTTGCCTGGGCTTCAGTGGAGTGTGGGATCCTGATCTGGGGGCTTGAGGATCGGGTCTAGGGCTGAGATTCCTTCCTGAACCTCATCATTTGGCTGTGATCTTAGCTTTCATCGATTATCCTTGCCTAAACCAGTGGTTAGGTTGGAAGTTGCAAAATGTAAATTTCTGACTCTATCATTCCATCTACAGCCATTAACTGGCTTGCGTCGTAAAAAAAAGCTTCCCCTCCCCCCAAAAAAAACCTTTCCCTTTCTTTTTTTAAGGGCAGATACTCTTAACCTAGTAATTCTATGCAGTGTGGGGGAGGCTAGTGGAGAGGGAGGTATTTCCTGTGAAGAGGCAAATAACTTATCATGTCAAAGAGTTCCCTGTTGCCAAAGGTAATTTAGTACCCTTGCAAATCAGGGCATGCGAAGCTCAGCCTCTAGCTGGGTGACTAAGAGTGGGGTTTCCCCACCCCTCAGAGGTGAGCACATGCATTTCCCTTGTGCCTAGTGGGTGTGAGTATCAGTCTTTTTTTGACCTGTGGTAAACACGGTAAGTGTTACCACCTCTCCTTTGTTCATGAAATATTCAGTAAGCACTAACTGTGCCAGCACTGAGCAGAGAGGAGTAAGACCTATTCCAGCCCTCAAGGCACTCACCACCATGTTGACAGACATGTAAAGAGAGAAACTCCAGGGCTATCAGTGAATGTGTATAGAGGGGCTGGGGAAGCCTGCAGCGCCTTGGGTTCTGAGGGACTGACAGCAGAAAAGGAGAAATGCCTTTTTCCTACTGCCTCCTCTGACCCCAGCATAGCTTGCGCGGTGACCTGTGTGTTCTGCCTTGGAGCCTCTTCTCAAGCCTTCCCCTGATCATGATATTCAAGACGTGGGCACGGGGCCGGGGCAGGTGTGCCGTCAGATAACCTGGGTCCACTCAGGTTTCTCCCTGCTGCCAGGGCTCGTGCCAGCTGAGATGCCTGGGCCCTCCCTGCTGGGGCCCGTTGTGAGGTCTGTGCAGAGGGGCTGGATGGGAGTCCAGTGGGGATGGCACAGATCGCCTTCTGTGATTCAGCCTCCCCGCTTCACCAGGTGAATCAGAGTCTCCAGAAGGTGGAGCCCAGGAATCTAGTTTTTAATAGTGGCTCTAGTAGGCCAGGTTGAGAAACCCCATCCTGTCCTGCCTTCCGTTCTGAGAGATGGGGATCCAGAGAAACAAGGGAAATGAGGCTAATTCTAGACATGGCCAAGTGGAGTGAGGTCTTTCCCTCTGTGTCCAGGGCTTCTTGGGATCATTCATCAGAGGGGTTCTCCTGCATGTGAAGGCTTCTGTTGTCAGTTTTCACCTGTCTTGTTGAAAGGCATATGGATACAAATAAGAAGGGTGAACAAACTACTCTGATGATGTGGTGATGAGAGGAGTTAGAGAAATGTGGTGTGTGTGAGAGTGTGGTTACAGCTTGAAGGACCGAACCTTCCCCACCTGGAGTGCTGCCAGTTTTAGGGCTGCCAGTGGAGCCACCCCAACCCTCACCACATTCCCACCCACACCCTCACTGACGACCAAGTAAAGTAAGCCGGACAGCTATTTTGATTTGCATTTTACATATGGGGACATTCAAAGAGGCCATCTAACTGGACTCAAGTCATATAAGCAGTCAGGTAACAGACCTGGCATAACACTTCTGGACATTTGGAACTTTCTGTCACATTGTTGTTTTATTCTTACCATGAGTCAGGTTGATTGACCTGTCTCTTAAATTAGCCAAAATCCTGACCGCTCTCTGGCCCCTCTGCCTCAGGCTTGAAGCTGCCACCTCTGCCTTGGTGCTTGGTCTCAATTTCTGTGTTTTCCCTGCTGGAGAACCCACATGTCCCATCTTCAAGAGACCATCCACTTCCTGGAAAGGAACTGCATTCTACAAAGAAAGGACTTTAAGTAATAGGATTGCTGTAAACTGAATGTTTGTGTTCCTCCCAGAATCCATATGTGGAAAGTTCATCCCTGGAGGCATGGTCTTCAGGGGCGGTGCTTTGGGAGGTAATTAGGTCACGAGGATAAAGCCCTCATGAAGGGGATTAATGTGCTTGTGAAAGAGCGCTCCCTGGCCTCTTCCACCATGTGATGACATGGAGGGAAGACAGATGGCTATGTACCAGGAATCGAGCCCTCACCAAATCTCCTGGCACCTTGATCTTGGACTTCCCAGCCTTCAGAACTGTGAGAAATAAACGTTTGTTGTTTAAGCCACCCAAGCTATGGTATTTTTGTTTTAGCGGCCTGAATGTGTTAAGACAAGGATGAAATAACTTATGTGGTAACTTGTTTTATTGTTCAAAATGTTTACCAGTATATATTCCTGCTCTGTTGAACCTGGGAAGAGCCAGGAGACTTACCCAACACAGATTGTAAAAGCCAGTGAGTGGTGGTCCACCATCTCCTCCTTCATTTGCAGGAAGGGGGACCCCTTCCAGGGCCCGAAACTGAGCTCTCATCTAACACTCAGAAATGAATTGTCCGAGGAGAGACATATGCTGACAAAGCAAGAGGTTTTATTGGGAAAGGGCACAGTGGCTCGCAGTCTTGGGGTTTGTGGTGATAGGATTAGTTTCCGGGTTGTCTTTAGCCAGTCATTCTGACTCAGAGTCCTTCCTGGTAGTGCATGCCTTGTTCAGCCAAGATGGATGCTAGTGAGGAGGATTCTGGTAGGTGGTCAGACATGTGGTGTCTCTTTTTGACCTTTCCTGAACTCTTCCAGTTGGTGGTGGCTTATTAGTTCCGTGGTCCTTACCAGGACCTCCTGTCATAAAATAACTCATGCAAATGGTTACTATGATGCCTGGCCACGGTGGGCGGTTTCAGTCAGTGTGCTTCCCCTAACACTCCCACCACAGAGACCTGCAGTGTTAAAACAGAGGCCCTTGCATTCACCTGGGTTCTAGAGTGGAGAAGAGGTTGGGCAGGGGAGTGGCCAGCCACAGCAAATAGGAGCAGGAGGGGGTGGTAACACTCACTGTTACAAACCAGTAGCCTCAGGGTTGCTTATTACAGTTGGATGATACTGCTTAATTCCATTTGTAATCCCACCATTCAGAGGTTAACTACTTTTAGATCTTGGTGTGTATCTTAGCAGAAATTCTTATATGCAAATGAACATCTTTAGATAAAGTCTTACGAAAAGGGGATAATATGCATCTTGCTTTCATTGCCTTCTTATTCTCCCTCAGATGTGGTGGGCATTTTGTCATGTCAAATTCATATCTACATCCTAATTTTTTAGTGTAGCTTCATAGTGTACCACTGCATGGTTATCCCAAAATTTAGTTTACCAATTCCTTTTTGGTAAAGCAGAAGGTTTACTTTTTTATTTTTATAAACTCTGTAATGAATATATTGTGTACATATTTTTATACACTGGCTCATCGTTTCCTTACATTTAGGCCAAATCCCAAGGAGTGTGATTCCGAGGAGATTTGCATCCTTCATTTGAATACACAGTGCCAAACCGCACTCCAGGAGGCCTGGCAGTTCACGCCCTTGCCAGCTCACTGGTCGTCAATAGCAAGCATGATCAGTTTTGCCAGAGGATTCCAGTCTGGAGAGCACTATTAATTCTCACTTTAGTATCAGCTAAGGTACTGTCTCCCTAACTCAGGCAACTGTTTTGTTCCACCTGATCACTTAGAGGGGAGGCTGCCTCTGGGGCCACCCAGGTAGATGACCTGACTGAAACTGTGCCCATGTGTTCAGATTGCCTCTGAACTCCTCATCCAGGCCCCACTTCTGGGAGAATCATCTTCTCCATCCTCTCTTCTTCTTCCTGCTTTCCTTTATTTTCCCTGAGGGGATTTTTGAAGCCAATTAAAAAAAAAATTTTTTTTTCTTGGCCCATGCTTCATGGCATGTGGACTCTTAGTTCCCTGACTAGGGATTGAACCTGCACCCCTGTATTGGAAGCGCAGGGTCTTAACCACTGGATAGCCAGGGAAGTCCCAAAGCCAATTTTAAAAATTATACAAAGAATGTTATGGAAACATTAGTCAGAATTTTAAGTGAAAAAAAAATGTCTACAATCAGTGGTCCCGAAAAACTCAACTGTGTTTGTGTTCTCTTCCCATCCTCATTCAAATGCATGCAACACTTTTGCCTAGTTGTGCTCCTGACACAGACCTCATTTTGCATTCTGCTCCTTTTTCTTCTCAGTCTGTCATGAGCATTTTTCCATACTGTTACATGGTCATCATCTTACTCATTTTAATTGTTGCACAGTGTTCCAGTAAGTAAATAATTGTAGTAAGTATTACCCTAATATGTCATTTAAGTGGTTCCCCATTT